CAAACAGATTTAAAAATCGATGCATAAACAACTGATTATACCTTTTAAGAACAGATAACTGAGCATTCGGTATAATGAAGTGGCTAGGAGCTCTGCAAGCAGCCTTGTCAGGGAAGAGACAACTTTTCCAGTTTAACACCTTTTTTAAAAATTGGAGAAATGTTGCTTTCTCATCCAAGTTATTCCATGTTTGTTGCTTCAGCTGAAGAGAGAAAGGAAGCCAGCCATGAAAACTAAGCTCCTAATTACCATCAACCTCCCTCTGATGTGGATGTGGCCAGTACACAGCACTACATGTCTACGTGGCTGGTACAGCAGTTTTTATACATATGCACACAAACCTAACAGATGGTTATAATTATGGGTGGGCAAGCTGCAGTCCTAACTTGGAAGTGAGCAAAAATAGGGTATGTTCTCTCTTACCCTTCCTGGCCACCACACCCAACTGCTGGACCACCTGGAGGCCACTCTCCCCATCAGAGGAGGGCGGCCAAGGGACCGGCACACCCCACCCCACACAGCACACCTCTCCGGGCACAGGTACACATCCTCCACCTAAACAACATGGGCACGCGTCAAATCATCGCCACTTCAAAGGGGAGCGTGCCTACCTGGCACGTCAGAGCTTAATTCAAAAAGAAAAAAAACTTGTTTATTGCTTGAACTCAGGCAAACGAGGGTGGATCTGATGCTGAAAACCTCCGTACTGACCTGCACAATGGATACCGCAGTTATTTCCAGCCTGCCTCTCACCTCAGCGAAAGCTGCTCTCTAACCCTTTGGTCTGCTCTTCTGAAATTCGCCCGCCTGCATCAGTAACCAACCGCTGGCCATGAAGACTAGACAACCGCAGCTCATCCCGGAGCCAGCTCGAACACCGTAATTTGTGCGTCTTGCAAGCGCAATCCACGCGGTGTGGTTTACGGCCTCCTCTCCAAGGCTAAGCCAGTCTTCTCCACAGTGTGTACTTAACTAAAAGTAAACCAGAATCAACAGCTTTGGGAACAGCTTGCCTTTGAACAGCGACACAAACGGCCGCCGCAGCACTTCCCCTCTCCGCGTCGTGTGCCCCGCGCTGGCCTGGCTTCAAAGGCAACCAAATCCCTCATTCGCCTTCACAAAAGGCTTCCTTTTCAAATGTGGGCACCTTCTGCTTTTAGCGCTGGTGTTTATCTTTCTATGTTTTGCCACATACCAGCCTAGCACACAAGCTATTCTGAGCGTTCACAGACAGACATTAAACCTCGTATGCCGATGTTCAGAAGCTGGACCTCCCCTATCAAGTTGCTCCTGACAGAGTAAAACGGAGGAGGAAACAGCAATGAAAACCCCTGCAACATATGATCACTGCCATCCTAACTCTGGCTCCTTTCCTGGACAACAAGAGCGGTGACAGCCCAGAAGCAAACTTTTAGACAAAAGCAGTATTAATCAAGGAACCTGAAAAAATACCAGAGAGGAGACTGCTTAAAGCAATCAAGAAAGGGCACGTACATCCCATGCTTCTCACAGGCCAAAAAGGGAAAACACGCACTCTTTTCTTTTATGGAAATTCAGATAAAAAGTATTACAAGCAGATGTCAACAGACTTGACATGGATACAAAAAGATGTCTGCACCCAGACACAAACAACTTTTGTCATTCACCTTCTTGCTAACAGCACAGATTCAGCTAAGAGCCCCAACTCATTACGTACAGAGCCAGGCATCATTCACACTATGAACAGAGTCCGTGTGCCAAATTAATATTCCTCCCTCCCCAAAAACCAGCAAGAAATATAGAAAATCCTCTGCTGACCCTTTATAGATGCAGTTGTTGGCAGCAGCAAAGAAAGTCACTGATGTGTTTGACAAAACTTGGCATCCACAGCAAGTACCTTTATAGTACTAACTAGGAAGCAGTGAATGGTTAGGAACATGGATACGATTATGTGAGACAAAAACGTTATTAAGTAAAGGAAGATTAAACTGAACTCAAACATGTGAACATATTTTCTTAAATGCTCATAGCTGGAGAAACAGCTCCTCAAATACAGACAAACACACAAATTAACAGTGGAAGATTTGCATAAATAATTGTCTTCCTGAGAAAGCAACTGTTTAAATTCCTTTTTAATTGCTGCTTCTGTATTTTTGAAATTATATACACTTTACACTACAATTTAGTATATTGCACTTCATATAATTTTTATGTGTGTGTGAAGAAGCAAGCCCCAAAACTTACGTCCTAATTAAGTGCATCCCTCATTAAGGGTACAAAGGTGCTACCTGGTCTCATTGCCACAGAGAAAACTAACAAAAAGCTGCCAGACTTAGGAACCACATTAATATGCATATAACTCAAAAAATGCCAGCATGCAACTCTGCGTATCTTTTTCCCCCACACAGGTTGTAGACAAGGAGGTACACAGAGCTGAAGTAAAGAGGGACAAAACACCTGTGAGCTAAAAGCCAGGATACGGTTTATATTCGGGGATGGCAAGATGTCTTTCGATGGGATGACCAGCCCCTAAGCTCAGAGTAGAGAAGGGCACACGCCTCCCCGATTTATCCCTAACGCACAAGGGACAGATACAGCCAGGCTGCCAAGGCAGACAGAAGAGACAGCGTGTGCACTACACCGATGAAGCAAATCCTGGCCAAGGGAGAGGGCTTTTTGGAGGGAAGGGAGAAGGCAAATGTACAATCTGGAAAGTTTTGATTGGCATGAACTCCAATGGCACTATCCTGTACACAAACTAGTCTGGTCCCAAAGCAGAATCACTAGGAGCCTAATTTCTTCAGCTGCCAGCATGCCTTCAAGAAAGGTAAACTTAATGCACCTTTCAGTCCATTTTTAATTTTTTTTTAACATCAAAAATTAAAATATCTTTGAACTGTTCAATACAGTTAAGAACCTTTGGCTTGAAAAGACACAGTTCATTCTGCCGTGACAACACTTCCTCCTACAACACATGCTCATATATCTATGAGGTTTCATAAAACTATTCAAGCTATTCAATCGGCTCTTCTTGGGGTTTCTGTTCCTGGAGCCCTGTCCTGCTAAAATACTACCACTGGCACAGCAGGAGTGGGGTATCAATGAGCAGGGAGAAAAGAAGATGCCTCTTACATCAGGTCCTGGTTACATGTACAGGACAACAGAGAGGCTTTCGTATGCATTTCAAAACACACCTTTTTTCTGACCACCTTTTCAATCATTTTTTAGGTAAGGTGGACTGAAAAGAGTAAGCAGTAAAATTAGCGAAACTGAAGGGACAATGAGTATTCGGCAGCAACTGAAGATGTGTCATCATTAACAGCACACAAACCTGTTTGTCTAGAAACGTACACCGCACTGAGCACCAAGTATCAGAATACTCTAAACTTGCCTTGGCAAGCTGAGAAATAAGCTAGGACATGTCTCTCCAGAACAAGGCTATTCTTTGCCTCTACAAAAAATCACCCCCTTTTACACATACGCTTTTTAAAAGCGGGAACTATCCTCCATCTGAGTACACACAATGGCTCAGAAAACTTTTTATTTATTTATTTATTTTGACTCACACCGAGTATTAGATTCTAATCTAATAACACTGGTGGAAAACTAAACTCTTACCAAGTAGCTATTTTCCCCTGTGCAGGATTGTTCATACATGCTATTCAACTTTTGTTTACTGTTTTTTCTGAATGGCAAAATGGTTCATTTGTTTTGAGAAAAAAATATACATAAAGACTTTTGTAAAGAGAACTACCTCAACATTTAGGATGCCCCATACTAGCCACTTTGTGCAAAGGAACATCATTTCCTTGAGCCCTTTTTTGCTTTTTATCATAAAAAAATTTCTAAATAGATGGAAAGTTTATTTTTACATTAAGATATTTTAAACTAAAACAGGGTATATTTAGACTTATGACGATGGTAGTGAAACACTGGAATGGGTTGCCCAGAGAGGCAGTGGAAGCCCCATCTCTGGAAACATTCAGGACCAGGTTGGACAGGGCTCTGAGCAACCTGATTCAGTTAAAGATGTCCCTGCTCACTGCAGGGGGGTTGGACTAAATGACCTCTAAAGGTCCCTTCCAACCCAAAACATTCTATGATTCTATCTTTAAAAATAAAGAAGGCAAACTTAATAGATGAAGCTTGGAATAAAGCATGTATATGGCCAAATCAAGGGACTAGATGGGCGATGCAAACAAAAATTACTTATGTACCGCAATTACTAATTTAAAAAAAAAAAAAAAAAAAACAAAACCACCAACCACTGAACCACTGAAAAGTGAGATTTCACAATCTGTAACAGCCACTAATATTCCTTCTATCTTTCTCATTTTTAGTGTAGCTCCTGATTCGGGAAAGATTCCTATCTAGTCAGTTCAAAATTCATTAAAATATCTGAAAAGCAGGTAAATCTAATCACAAAAACCTTCATTACAGAGCTGAGAAGAAGAATTCCATGTGGACTAATTCCTAGGTTTTTCTAAACTGATAAACAGCTGCCTGTTCTCATACACCTCAAACTCTGACTATCTTTATTTAATGGCACAGGTCCTCAGCTTGATGATCGTAGTACCATCCCCTTTCTACTACAACAGAAAAACAGAAGCTGATCAGAATTGAGATCCTGGCCTGACAGCATCTCAAACGGCCATCACAAACTAAATCCCATCACATAATCTCTGGTGACGTACACAGCACAAACTGTTGGGTCAGAGAGTCTAAAGGAGAAGAGAAAAACGAGAGCCCTTTTCGTAACCCTGTCAGTAGACATCTAAGAGCATACATAACATGCCAGTTTTTCAAGGTTTCCAAGGGATTGCCAGGACAGCTCTGAGCTACCTTCTCCTTCCATCGCTGTTGGCGAGGAGTCACTAGATGAGGAATGCTTCAGCTCTATGTGGATACACAAAGAACTGGAGAACATTAGGAGGGGAGACACAACAGAACAGCAGAACACACACAGCACTTACACATTCAAAAAGCATTCCCTCTGGATATTTTTCTTAATTTTAGAAGAAACTTACATAGATTTTATCTTGCTGATACCGCTGGAATAAGTTGTGCATAATGGAGCCTTCATGGAGATCTACGAGCGCTGCCATGTCTTCCACGCTCTCTGTGCTTGTTTGATGCATAGGCGTTACTTTTTGGTGTGTGATCGTGCTCTGTTTATAAGTGAATACCTGAAAGAGGGAAACAAAGAATGTATAATAATCAGAGCTCACATTCAGAAACTCCTATCTGAGAACGCAGCTTTCATACCCATTCATACTCCCTATCCAGTTTATCAGTGTGCAGACTTGTAAAATGTATTCGTCTGCCAGTCATACCTTCTTCGAAAGCTTCTCTGACAATAAGTGAAGCCCCAAATACATACACGGGGGTCATATGAAACTTAACACATACTGACAATGCACTGAGGACTGTAAGGTCTTTTCCTTTTCAAGGGCAAATGTAATCTCATTTCACACTGGACTATTGTTAGACTTTATCAGAAGAAAAATAAACCAAGCAATAATCCTTCCCAAAAAAATCCAAACCCAACCAAACAAAAAACCCGCCCCTTACAGTAAACCCCACTTATACTCAAATTACTCTGGGAGGAAATGTTTTACAGTGCAAAACAGCAAATGAAAATTGTTGCTCTAACAGGCTGCAAGTGTTTACATGTTTGGTCTGAAATCCACTTAAATGCTTCCATTCAATTCTCCAGTCAGGACCGCTATCGGGTCAGGTCATTATTCCTAATGGAAGTAGCATGCTCAGTTCAGTGTGCTTGCAGATACCTGAAAATGAATAGGCAAACCCATTTCTAATTAATGGATTTTTGAGACGAATTTCTGAAGCCTGTTCCAAACAAGACAGTAAAAGCTCTAGAAAGGCCACAACTTAAATACTCAGTCAGAAAACACTTCTACATCTGTAAAACTATCTCAAACACGCTCAGAAGATGTACAGATCCCCAATCTAAGTTAAACTTTTAGGAATACTAATGACATCACTAAAGACAGTAAAACAATAGCTTTGGAATCAGCTTCCTATTCTCTCTTAATTTACATCTTGGCAGCTCATCCTTATTAGACGTATGCCTGCATCTCATAGCCAATGCTACTCAGGCAATACAAGTCCCCGCGAACGGCACCGTTTCAGCCTAAGAAAGTCAAGCGCGAGGTTAATGCAAATACTTCAGTGATGTAGAATACTTAAAAAAAAAAAAAAAAACAACAACACAACCCTTCCAAAGTCCTTTCAAATAATATTTATAAAATCGATGGAAGAAGCGCACTGACGGACAGCCCAGGCGCCGGCGAGCACGGCAGGATCGTAGAAGATGTAGAAGTGTTTTCTGCAGGCTGGGATCACGCAGCATTGGCCCACGGACGGGGCAGCGCAAGGGGCCACGTCTGTGCAGAAAGAGAAAACCCCTCCAAAGATTCCAGCATGAAAACATGTGTATGCTCCCGGCAATGAAAGACTGAAGAAGGACGGTTGTGTCATCATGGGAGGCCCTTCAGGAAAACAGCGGGTTTGTCTGTCTTGCTGAGACACGTGAGAAAAAGAAGCTGAAGCAGCAAGAGGCTGAACGCAGACTGTGCTTAACATTGCGGCTCTGTACTCGGTTATGCCACCAGCTGACAGAGGAGAATCGCCTGATGAAATCTGTTCATTAAAACCATATCCCGGGTGTTACCAAATGCTGGCACAGGCCATCGCACCGTTCCAGCTGTCACTCGCACCAGCAGAAAGCGTACTGGGGGAAGGCTGGAGGAGAAAGGAGATCCAGGAAACAAATTTCTAACAGGTGCTGGAAGGCAGCATGGATGTCAGCATGAGACATGAGCAAACCATCAGAAAGTTCCTACAGATTCAGAGCATCCAAAGCACAATCCCTAACTGTGGGAAAAGGACAGACACAGAGACATCCAAGCCGTAGATTATGGTAAACAACCATCAAGGCGACAGGACAAGCCTTTGTACAGGGCTGAGAGATGCTGCCCAGGATGGAGAAAGCAGCCACTTGTACATGATCCAGGGGCAAGTGGTCCAGATACCTAACAAATGGAATGAATGTGAACAGCATCAATTGATAGCAAAACTTCGGGGCTGAAAACAGTGTTAGCAGTCCCAAGACTAACCACACAAATTGCAAGCTGGCATTAGAGGTAATTACATCTCAAGAGTAATAAACTGCAGTTCCTAGTCAGGAGAACCATGGCAAATAAACTCAAAGGTCATACTGCAGAACAAAGAATACTGTAAGCTGGAAGACTTGGAAATAAAAAGGATTTAAGGAGAGCAAATCCTAGAAAAGTAAGTAACTGAACAGAAGCTGTGTATCAGCATGGAATTAAAACAGAAAAATAAACTCAATAAGAGAATTAGGAAGCCAAAAGGGCATGGCATACATCCTGTGAGTGCAGCTCCTGTGAACATGGAAGGGAAACAAAACATCATTTCTAGGATGAGAATTTTTGCATGCATGATTTCTGTTCTGTGATATGTGATGCACAGGTTAGTAGGGTAAGGCAGAGCACTCCATACATCACTAAGCTCATTTGTTAACATAAGGAATTAATAAAAATGCACCAAGAAGAACAACATCACAGTTGACTTGTGAATGGCAGGACTATCAAAGATGATCTTTGCAGATTCATCTTTCCCACTCAAACCCACTACTTTCTCTTCTTCAGGCTGGTTGTTCTCACACTTCCACGCACTGCCTTCCTGTTTGGGTGAGGAAACAGCTCTGTGGGCTGACTCAAGCGATATGCCCATGTGTCAACCAGCTAGAAAACACACTGACTGGTCATAACGGTTGCCACCCAGACCAGAAAGGAGAAGGGTCTCTTCCCCAACGCTGGGGAGTTTGTAATTTCTACCAGAGCCATGCATCCTTCGGATTTCATAAACACACTTTAAAACTTGGTCAAAACCATCTAACAAGATCAAAGTCAACAGCCAGGGCAGCAGGATCACATGTGCAAACCTCATTTCCTTAAAACAGGCTTTTAGCAGCCCTGCTGCTCAAGCCCTGAAAGGCCTGCTTTGTTTCATTTCATCTTGACTCACACCCTGCACTAGGATAAGGACATGAAAAAGCTACCTTGAACTTTATCGTTACTAATTAGAAGGTCACGTTATGAAATATTACAGCAGATTAAATCCTCAGGAAATAGGAACCAAGAGCCATTCTGCAGGGTCAGCATGCAGAAGAGGAAGATGAACAAGTTGGCTCCTGAACTTCAAGATGAGCCCGTTGGCAGAGTGCAGGAGCGTCCACCTTCAAGAAACTTGCCAGCATTTCTGGAAGGTCAAGTAAAACATGCAGGAAACTTGGAATAAGATTTAAGACAAGCCTAAATGAGAATTCAGCAAAAACTTCTTTCCTCTCGAGATATAAATGGTCCAAGATAACAAACATGCTGAATACATGGAAAACTATAAATTAAACCCTAAAGAGACAGCACGCAAAGTAAGAACTCTCAAGATTTTTATGGAAGTGAAAATTAGAGGTTGAGATAGGAAGGAGCAATGCAAAGAACAATAAAAAGAACAAGCTCAAGAAATACAAGACAAAACAGCGAACCTAGCTAAACAACAGTAAGGAGCATTTCACTGGGAAAGGAGAACAACACTTCAAAACCGCTCGACTGTCCCTACCACAGCTTACTAGTGCTGTGATGAACATGCCAAAAATAGACTCAAATGAGGAAGCAACCTGAAAAGCCAGGGGACCGATGCTACCAAGTTCCCCGGTAACATGAAAAAAAGCTGTAAGAGGCACTCTGAAGCTCGAAAATAACGTGGGAGGGAACTATCGGACGCCCAAATACTAACCGCTTGCTGAAAGGAGAACCCACACCCGAGGGCTGGAGGAGCGCTGTTTAGGCTGTCTTGAAGAAGAAAGCAAGTGTGACTGGAAAAAAGTAGTCACACGCTGCTGAGTCAGATTTCTTTCTCTAGTGAAAAAAGGCAAGATTGAAGCGACAGGTGAGTAAGGACAGGAATATCTGAATGAACGTTAAAAATGGGGTGACATGCAGAAAGAGTGAAAACAAACCATACTGGTTTGAAACAGCCTGTTTCAAAGCTCTGATGACATGACCCCATGTCCTGAGCCACGTCTGTTCAGAAATCAACAGGATTATTAGCCCAATTCTATTCTCTCCAGAACTGAGTAAAATCCTTCAGCCTTGCTGTGACAGGGACGTACCCAGAGCAGTGTCACGGTGCGCCTGCTCAACCCTCGTGACACCCGCAGCACTTGCCGGATCTGCTTTAGGACACGGCGTCAAGCCCTAGGCACTGAAGGTGAGAACTACACTCATATGTCCCAAAAGTACTGCCCAGATGAGAAAGAAGGAAAGGCAGAAAAAAATGAGTCCATTGTGACACTACAAGAACATTAGCCTTGGACATGGGACCAAGGAAAAAGAAGTCAGAGGGAAGTCCTCAGGAGCACACCAACATCTCCAAGACGTGAGCATGACTGCATTGCAGCGGACGGGACAGACTCCCACATCATCCCCCTGAAACACCACCCAGATCCCCAAATGCTGCTGCAGGACGCACCTTCTCTTTGCAGAAGACGTGAGTCGGATGCTCTCCAATGCACTGGAGGAAGCTGGAGAACTTGTGACAACACGCGCCCAGATTAAAGGTGAGACTGCAGATGAGCACTAGGTAAATGGGTTTTTGGCGGTTGATGTTTCATGAAGGGGTTTGTTAAGAAATGGCAGAGCAACGTAAATGAATAAATAAATACAGGACTCTATCTGGAGACCCAACAACTCCCAAACCACATCTTAAAGCAAAGACGTAATGAAAATGATGGCTTTAGCAAATAAATAAATAATTTTCCCTATTCATAAATACCATACCTACTCATAAATACTGCTGCATGAACAGTGCAATATTATTCTCCACAATGTGCAAGCATTTTTTACATGAGCTCGTACCTTTATATTTGATTCAGAAAAGCATTTCTTATACTCCATGCAATTTGGCGTAACTTGTATTTTACATGAATATACTCTTCTAAATCTGCTAGTGAGCAAGCAAAGAAAACAACCCAATGACAAATCAGGAATCTGAGGCATATGACTGCAATTAAATTAATTTCACCGATGCCTTTAGAAGCGCATGAAAA